AGTCAGATTGCCTGTCCTAAATGAATCGCATACAAACTCATATACAGGTCCTAGACTAAATCTCTTCGACTGCCACAACAACTGCACTGGCAATGGTTTCTTTAAACACACTTGAATTCTTTAAATAATCGTCCATATTCTTGCCAAATTCAGCGAAAGAATCTTCCACTAGGCTAGTTGAGCGAGTCTTTGTCGACATTTTAATTTTGTAGTGAGCTAGCGAGCGAGCAAATTTAACGATCGGAGGATTTCAGTCGTGAGATAAACCAAAATACGAACTATTTTAACTGCTCTCAACAATTATAGTCTATAAAATATAATGCGAGGTCACCAAAAAAGGAAGAAAACGACTACATACAGATCATTTGATCGATATTTTTGTAAAATTTGTGGAATAGCGCAAAATTAATGGCGCAAAAGTAATTTTGCCCGTCAAATTTTCAGTAAATATTTTTGGGCGAATAAGTTACCAAATTGATATAAAAAATAGCCTGTTCGATAGATTACAATCTTGTGATTACACTTACTTTGACCACAAAGTACAAAAATAGTTATTTTTCGGTTGCAGGGTTAGTTTTGCCAGCGCGCTTCCAGAGTAGTATGACAATAACAATTCCCGGCTAACAACATTCGTAATTCTGTCAATCAAATTCAGCAAACATTTTTGGCTGAATGATGCCAAATTGATATAAAAAATAGCCTATTCGATAGATTACAATCTTGTGATTTCAAATGGCTTCGTCGTCAAAAACAAAACAGGTTAAGTTTGTAGTTACAGGGTTAGTTTTGGCAGTATTTTCTGGAAATAATTGCTGCGCGCAGCGTGCGCGATTTACCGATAGCACGATCCAAATTTTACATTTAGCATCACTATAAAATAGAAATGAATGAAAATTTGGATGTATCTACCTTTGTTAGTATATAGCCGCTCCACGACTACGAATAAGTCTACGATCCCAAAATTTAGATAATACGCTTTTTTACAATATGTTTTGCATAAACTACATGCATCTGCCTTTGTTTTTATGTAAATTTAAAGACTTGTTTCCGTGGACCGTGGTAACCAAGCAATTTCTACGTGACAGGCACATCACGTTTGTCATCATACTTCTAATGAGCGTTTCCAGTCCCTGTCTTCTGGATTGTCTATGGTTAAAGCTAATCATCTGAATATAGCTTTGGCATTTTCCTGATTCTCAAATATCGTTTAAACAACGTATTATAGTATAGCACTCCTTGTGTCTGCAATAAAGTATATGGTGGAGATTTTTGGATGATGTTTTTATGATTTGGCCTCATGGTGAGAAGGAGTTAAATGATTTTCTCGCTCGAAAGCATTAAGTTCAGTTACTTGGGAATCTAGCTCGGAAGGAATTTCCTTTCCTGATGTGAGGGTGATTAAAGTTAATGGTGCGTTTCAGACTGATGTGTTTTCAAAACCAACTGACGCTCATCAGTATTTAAATTTTAAATCTTGCCAACCGCACATCAAGAAGGGAATACCATATAGCCAAGCCTTGAGGTTAAAACGCATTTGTAGTGATGACAACAACCTTAAGAAACGATTGCAGGAGTTAATAAAGTGTTATTTAGTTAAAAGGGGTTATGATTCAGATTTCGTAGAGAGCCAATTTAGCAGAGTGAAGGGGATTAGTAGGACTAGGTGTTTACGCGTAAAGAGAGCCCTGAAACAAAATTGTTTCGTGGTCGATTATTACCCAGCTTTAAGTGCTCTCTACGGAATATTTAGGGAGTTACAACAAATCGTAGGTTTGTCTGATAGCTTTTTAAGTGTAATGCCTGAACCACCTATGATAATTTTCCGCAGATGTAAAAATCTTAAGTATCATCTAGTTCGATCGAAGCTTTCTAAGGAAAAAGATGCAGTCGTGGGTATGTTTAAGTGTGGAAGTAGAAAATGTAAAGTTTGTGATAATGTTTTGGTTGGCTCATCTTTTGAGAGTCATGTTGAGGCTAGATGCAATATGTGGGCTGTACTATTACGTCGTTTAGATTGAGATTTAACAATCACAAATGCTCTCCAAATAGGTGTGGGCAAGGTATAAGAAATATTAGTGGTCAGCACTTGTACGAGCATTTTTTCGGGGGGGGGGGCATTCGGGTTTAAGTGACTTTAGGGTTCAAATTATTGATAGTAGCCTACTGATGTTATCAACCCTATGGAAAGGGAAAGTTATTGGATAGAGAAAATCAATTGTTATTGTCCATTGGGATTAAACATGAGGGAGGAAAGTAATTACTAGTTTAATTTATGTAAATTTTAAGTATAGAGGACTATAAAAACTGTGGACAAGGCTTTGTAAGGTAATTTGAAAGAACTTGTGTGGTTGTTGAATCTTGTCTTGAAGGGTCCTTCTGTAATACCCATATAGGTTTGGTCGTTTATGTTGTTTTCTCCCTTTACGGTGGCTTGATATACAACTGCTTCAGTTAAGCACTTTCCGTCGAGCGTGCACGTTGACTTGGAACGGCAGTTGCACTCCTTAGGCTTAGTACTGGTTTGGGTTTTGGATTCCTTTGATAGTAAATGCTTGTTGTGGGAATTGATGATGGACGACGCTTGTTGTGGGAATTGATGATGGGCGATGCTTGTTGTGGGAATTGATGATGGACGCTATATTTGGCATGCAGCTGTAACTTAACTTCAAATTGTTCCTGTTGCAAATTTTCCGAAGCGGGTGGTTTGGTGGAAAACATTCGTCGATTATGTTTAGAATCTGCGGCCTAAGTTTGTCGATACATTGCAGTTATGAGGTGGGTTGAACCATGTGACGTTTCAGTGTCTTGCGGGCTTTGGTTTCGGTGGGTGGGGATTGTAATTGAGTTTGTAATCGTATCCACTGTTTTTGAGGGCATCTTGGTGAGGTGGGATTGCTGACTCAAAGGATTGCATTCGGAGGAAATGTTGGATAGTCGTTTGTTTATATTTTCAGGAATACGGCGGATTATTGAAGGAGGGTGGTTGCTATGCCGGTTCACGTATATGGGGACGTTCCCGGGTTTCGTGAATGGCTTGTATAGGTACCTGAGATTATATCGAGCGTAATATCGAGGTATTCGGCGCGTTTCTTGTTCGCTTCTATCGTAATTTTCAGATTGTGGTTGTTGAAGGTTTCGCAAATATATTTCTTAATGTTCTCGATCTCCTTAGGTGTTTTGTTGAGAGCGGCAAGCCCGTCATCTCGATAGAGGCCAATGCTATTTCCTACGGTTGATGTTAGTTTTGACAGTAAGTAAGAACCGACGAGTTCGCATGTTTCCGCGCCATCAAAGCTGCCCATCATTACGTCAAATGACTTCGATGTTTTCTTGCGTCAGGTGGTATTTTCTGTGAACAATAATGAGTTCTTTATTTATCTTTCTGAGTGATCGTACTGTGAGGCGAAAGTAAGCGCTTCAGTCAGGAGTTCCTTTGTGATAGACGGATAAAAATCAACAATATCGAAGATTATAAATGAGTATTCCGGTAATCTTATTTGTTGTACTACCTTGCACTTTCTTGTAAGATTTTGTGATGGCAGAATTCGCAAGTTGTGTGTACGAGTGGGCGTCGAGGCGGTAAAAGTTGGATGTTTTGTCAGCAGCCACTAGTTATTTGTCGTCATTTTTTATTCGTTCTGTATCTTGTGATAATTTATTCTGGAAGGAGGTTTGGGTTTTGAATTCGATATTCTGTACTAATAGAGCATTTTGTCTTCAAATTTGTTAAGTTCGTTTATTGGCAGCGGGATTTTGTTTTTGGGAACCCGAATGTTTCTCTGTCTGGTGTATCTATACTGGGTTGAGAAAATGGTAGGCTTTCCATCATACGCGACGTAGAAACGATTCGGTTTTTTCAAGTAGGCATTTCAAATATTCTTTAGGCTTCGCGATTGGTATGTTCTTGGTCATACATCGCTGTTCTGTAGCACCTAATTCTCCTTTTAAGTTAGAGTGAATCTCCTGCCATTGTCATTTCATGAAGTATTTCTTCTCTTATAACTGTTCAGGGTCCTAAAAAACCTTTCGCGATGGCGCTGGGTAAGATGAGGAAGAAGTTCGAATGTTCCAAAGACAAGACCTGTCCAATCAGAACGTTCCTAGTAACATCACGTGATGCGGAAGTCGGTGAACGTGCCCTGAAGACATTACGTCGCTGGGGATTAGAAATTGATGAATCATTTTTCATGGCAGGTACATCCAAAGATGAAATATTAAAAGCTATAAATCCTCATATATTTTTGATTATCAAAAATCTCGTATTGAACGCCATCAGGTCATGTGCCCAACACAAGTCATCATGATACATATATGATAAAACCAAACAAGAATCGGCCAAAACTAATTTGTTCAATGTTGAAAAATGACCTACAATTTTATATACATTACTTGTTGAACCACCATCGTGATCACCCAATCACCAATAATACAACTTCAATTGTATTCTTTTGTTCTGTGATTCCTCTCTCATTCCATGGAGATCTTATTGATTGCTTAAAATGAACTATAGTCCTTTAAACCGGAAAACTCTTTTAACATAGGAAATAGTGCTAAGTTTTACCTCACATTGAATTTTAATGAATTATTTAGGGTAGGATAATAATTTTAATTTAATATTATTATGTAAGTATTCTTCAGGAATTCATTTAACATTGGTTAACTACAATTTACCAAATCAATCATTTTACTCTGTTCTGTCCCAACAAACTTAATTAAATCACTGAGTAAAATCATTTGCCTAATTTAACTATTATAAATTAATTCTCACGTTCAACTTTAACAGCAATTTGCAGATTGCTTGAAATGAAAATAATAATCATGACGCATGAAGATGTATCTGAGTGTATTCGTAACTAGAAAATCATCCTCGCGATTTAATCGCCAATTATCGTAATAATTCAGACTGCGTGAATTAATTTATATCATGGCAGCTATTACAGGCCAATTATGCAATTTAATCAAATTCGTCGAGCTATTTAAGGCGTTGCTCGTGATCAAAGTTAATGACATAAAATATCTTGATTCTTTCTTCGAATTTGTTCGAGTTCGCTTTTAACGAACCTAACGTCTTCTCCGAGGATTTCAAACGCCGCCCAGAACAAGAATGAAGTGAAATGTACACTTCTTTGGAACTGATTCATAGTTTCTTTCAACGCAAAGCACACTGATTTTTCCTCGAAAATCTTTTCGTAGAAAACTTTCATAAATTCCTTTGTGAATATGTCATAAATATTCCACAGTGTAACAAGGACGGACTGGGCACCAGCTCCGAGAAATGACCTGGCAATACCTAAGACACCCTCTGAGGATAATTCACCCTTACCAGTGTTGCAACAGGAGAGTACAACCAGCCGTGCAGACAGTTTGCACTTTAGGACGTCATTTTGTGTGAGGAGATCGGTCGACAATGCAGGGCGAAAGCCTTCATTTGGGTTTCCAGTGTCTGGAGCTAGGAAAATGTGGCCAGTTTGTTGATGACCATGAGCGGCAATATGAATCATGGACGCTGTGGACATGAGATCCATCACTTTCCTCTTTGTTGCCATACGCCCGGTTAATGGTTTTGCATCTAGTAGTGATGCAAGATATTCCACTTCTTCTTCTGCTGATGGTAAAGATGGTAGATGAAAATTCTTTACTTCTGGATTACCAACGAACAAAGAACCACCAATTTGTGTGCTTCTTGACGCATGCATGCTTATCGCCAGTACGTGAACTGAGGGAATAATTTGTATTTCGTATCTTTCTGACAAGAGGCAGCCATTTTCATCGATTAATGACGAAAAAGGGGTAAAGAAAAGACATCTTTGTGGAACAATAATGAGCTTGGTTCCAGTAATCATATTTTTCACAGGATCAATCAAGGATCTATGCAAAAGAGAGCGTGAATCTTTGGAAAAATCTTCGTATGATTTGTCAGCTTGTTTACCAGGTGATCTGTATTTATCTGTGTTGTCCATCACCACCACTTCCTTGTAACTTGTCACTTTTTCTGAATTTTCTTCATTCTGTTGTTGGTTAGAAGACAAAGGTTTGACATTCGGCTCTGGTTCTTTGAAGAAGGAATATCCGCGTGGAAATCCAAGGGATGCTTTCTCCAACAAGATCTTAATGTGTTCTTCCAGTTCTTGACGAGAAGTTGTAAACTTTCCACCAGGTTCTGATGTCTTTAACGACACGCATCCATTAGCGTCCAACACCCAAATCGTTAATATTTGCGCGTGGTTAAAATTATAGAACAGAACAGTAGCATTGGACTCGTAGAGTTTGATATCCCGAGACAGGGCAGAAATTCGGTGCTTTTCCTCCCCATTTTCAATGGTCAGCAAGGACGACTCGAAACCCGATTTAACTTCGTCGTCTTCTTCGTCTTCTAACTGCTTGTTGTATACAAGGTATCTTAATATTTTTGCTCGTCCCAAATCAAGAAATAGCAGTGCAGCCGTAGATCTTCCTAGTAGATTGAATGGAGCAGTAATGTGATCGTACCATTGGTAAAATCTATCTGTAAAAGCTGTTCTATTACTGTCGACTGATAAATTAGTCAAAACATTATCGGCCGATTCCATGGCCATTTTGAATGTTTCAATACACCTTTCCAAGGATTCCTTAGCATCACTGGAACCGAGAAATATTGGCAAGGCCATGGAGTAGTACAGCATTCCCTTATTCCCATATGCGATGGATAAATCAGAAAATTGCTTCATGTCACGGTTAATATCGATACAGAAATTGTAATAACGCTCAGATGTATCTGTTTCACGCAGATACAAATGGCTGCCTGCTAATACTCCATACGAAAGTGATGCTCCTTTTTTGCTGCCAATTTCTGTGAAAATACGGGCACTTTCTTCACAGTAGTTTATAGCATTCTCAAATTCTTGCATTTCATTATAGGCATTTCCTATGTTATGCAAGCTCCGAGCTTGCTCAAATTTATCCCCTGTTGACAGACTGATATTATATGCTTCATGAAATAAATTTATGGCTTTTTTATTTTCCCCTATTTGATTGTGTGCTTCCCCCATATGGCAATAGGCAATTCCCAAATAATGTTTAGCACGTAGCTCTAAATATATCTCAATGGCTTTCTCTTGATTGGCGATGGCCTCCTTGTATTTACCGAGTTTAGTATATATATTACCAAGACAAATAAGACTATTTGCATTGCCTAACTGGCCAACCCATCCTGGCATCTGTTTAAATATACATATGGCATCATTGGCTGTTTTTATGGCTAATTCGTACACACCATTCAATTGATAACAGTGACCCAAACATTCTAAAATCATGGCTTCCAGTAACTGATCCCCCAGGTCGGCATTCAACTCCCTGGCTCTATTGAGGTATATTATGGCCTCCTCTGGTTTTTCCTGTAAACGCATATTCTCTCCTTTTTGACTTAACTGCATGATTTGATTTTTCATTGATGATGGCTCGTTCTGAATCTTAGCCAACAAGAGCTTCTTCATTTCCTAAAATAATGAAAAAGAAATCTTTATTATTGGCAGTACCCCGGCATCTAGCAAAAATTACCGTCTATGGATCGTTCGCTTATTTTAGCTTAGACTTTTTATGATGTAGCACGTGGAGACGGAGGGAGAAACACAGACTTGCAACTTTGGCAATTCTCGGTTCAAAATTGAATCGAAAATGTTACACGCGTAAAAATTTATCAGGTTAATCATGATTGTTCGCTGAACAACGCTTGAACAATGCTGTTATCATTGTTGAACAACGTTGTTGAAATGACAATGTTGTTCAATATTGTTCCATCAACATTATTCGACGTTGATGAACGAACAATGGCTGAACAATGTCAACAATAGTTGTTGGAACAAGGGTCAACAATAGTTGATGAAACAACCTTGCAATTTGTTGTCGGAACAATGTTGTTCAACCTTGTTGAATCAATCATGCCAGGTCGATGGATAAACAACTTGTTTTTAGTTGTTGAAACAATTATCAACAATGTTGTTAATAATATATAGACGGTAAAATAATGCATTTGAACAGGACAAAAACTTGTTTTTATTGGTTGATGCAATGCGTTCGCATGCAAAACGGATGAAATGTGAGGAATCACGAGAGCAAGAAATAAAACGGGCTTTTACATCAAATGAAATGTCGTTTAAACCATAACAGCTGGGAAATTTGTTGTCGCTGTGCAGAGAAATTGCTGGCGCACGCGATATTTTACAAAAATTCGAAAATTTGAAAAAACAACATGAGTGAAATTTCAACTGATGATTTTTCATTTTTAAGACGGCGATCAAGGAAATTAAATTGTTGGAAAAACTTCACTAACATCTCAAGTATGGAAAACATCTCCATTACCAGAAATTTAATTGTGGATTGATTCAAAATTCAGGCGATAAAGTTACATAGCTAGGAGTTGGCTTTTGTGCTCTTCGAATATCAGTTTTCATTCGCGGATTACCATAACTTGTTGGCCTCATGGGTGCCAAAATCGACATAAACGTAAACTGCTAACCAAGAGCTATAAAACAAATAGCTTTTCAAAAAGATAAACTTTCTTCAGTCAAAAGGATGAGGGTAAATAAACATGCTACTGCGTGATAGTGATTTCGAAGCAACTTTGTCACATATATTTTAAAAAGTGTGATAATGAATCAAACTTTGCTTTTTGCAACCCAAAAATGTATGAAAATTATTTAAATATTTAAGGTTTCCGTGTTTCTAAAGTATTTTTTTGAGAAAAGTAAAAATTTTCCCGATAAAAAAGCATAGTTTCTGCAGAAAACTGTTTTCTGATAGAGAAGGTCCTGGGGGAGGGAGTGTAGAAGCGTGCGCGGATAGCAAAAAACCTTGACGTTTCCTCCAAAAAATTAATACCAAATTTTGTTTTGCCTTTGTTTGATATGTAATTTAAACAAGTTTTTTTACATCTAAAAATTGCCCCTAGTGGTCAAAACTTGGATTATGTTCGCAGTATTGCCCATTTGTTTACTTTGGGGGATCAAAGTTTGAGGTCCAATTATTTTTAAAGTTTGCAAACTACCCAGCTAATTCTTGGCTGTTGTTTGCAGCCTTGTATGCTGATTATAATTTAGTTTAGTCCACAATAGTAGATCCTTTCAATGAAGGGAAATTCAAAATAGTATATTTGATTACTTTTACAGCACAGTCATTACATAGGTAGGGTGCAATACCAGGCCAAATTGCAAAAAAATTTACCGATTCCTCCAAATTTAAAATCATATTTTTTTGCTCGCAAGGCACATAGGAAACATAATTTAAATAATCAATTTAAGCAAAGCTATAAATTGCGGTTAATGGAGTAATATGTTCTAGAAGACTCCATTTGCCTGTCACGTGCATACATACAATGCCCCCCTTTTTGCGCAAGGACTTTTGATCGCAGTTTCGACGTGCTTTGTTCATTCTCAAGACTTTAGCCAGTGCGTTAACATCTCTGGCAAAATTTTTAGTTTATAATTCAAGGGATAAAAACCTTGGCAAAGAAGTGAAAATTTGGAAAAAAATAATTAAATATTGTTGACTTACAATGCCTAAAGAAAAAGGCAAGCGTCGTTCAGGACCAACTCGAGGCTCAACTCGTGGCCGTCCGCAGCGTGGCATCGAGCAAACGCCGGCTGCAGATGTTGGTGAAAGTTCAACGACGCCGTCGAGTACTGCTGGGGTGAACTACGCCGACTTATCAACGGAGGTTCTCCATCTCCTCCTGGCGCAACGAAATCTCGCGCTTTCTGGCTTGCGTGATACTCTTCTTCGTCGCCTCGCCGATCACGATGGAGCAGAAGTCC